GGAGGACAGAGAGTGAGACATGGAGGACAGAGAGCGAGGGAGGGAGGACAGAGAGTGAGACATGGAGGACAGAAAGTGAGACATGGAGGACAGAGCCCAAAGGATGGTGCAGAATAGGGTAGCGTTCACATCTGTGTTTTACAGGGTCTTTAGGAACTGCAGTGACTTGATGATCCCTACTAATAACAATGACAACAAAGAAAGCTGAACGAAAGCACCCTCCCTGTTCCTGGTTTTTCCAGGAAAAGGCTCCTGCCCTCCAGGAGAAATGACGTGAACTCCTGGAGACTGGTGCAGGCACACGTGTGTGTTCCTTTACTGAACGTATTAACAAATCCTCTGTGCCAGTTCTCAGTCTCCACCGGGCAGGTGTGGAACTCAGCCTTGGTTTCTCAGCGGCGTTGGGACAGCTGCTGTGTGCGTATTATCATGGGGAACAGGACGAGCACATTATTCGTGCTGTTGACTCACTGAGGACGACCTGCTATTCAGAACCCAAGCCTTTCAGAAGCCGTGTGAGCTGCTTACCAAACTTTTCATTTGTTGTTCTGTGCTGTCAAGCCAACTATGACTCACAGCGACCCCGGGAACAACAGGTCTGCACCTGGCCCTCTCCTTGCGATCCGGCCACATGTGAGAGCCCACTGCTGCGGACACAGGCAATCCGTCTCCTTGAGGGGCTTCCTCTCTTTCTCTGACCCTCCTCCCTTCCCAGAATGATGTCTTTTCCCAAGGACTGGCCTCCTGACAGCAGGTGCAAAGGGTGTCCCACAACGTTTCACACCCTCACTCTAAGGAGCTCCCTGGTTATGCCTCCTCTAAGACAGACTTGTCCCTTCTCTTGGTGTCCATGGCATATTCAGGACTTTCTCCAACACAACTCAAAAGCATCAAGTCTTCACTCTTCCTTATTCACCTTCTGTCCTCTTTTCAGGAGCTTATGAAGCAATTGAAATACTTTGACTTGGATCAGGTGCACTTCAGTTGCTAAACTTGTAATTTGTTCTTTATCACTTTAAAAGTCTTTGTTAGCAGATTTTCCCCAGTGAAACATGCCTTTTATTTCTTTTTTAAAATGTTAAAAACATTTTCTTATTTTGTGTGTGTGTACCGTCAAATCAGATCTGACTGGTACAGGAGGAGATTGCCCCTCCTTCTCCAGCAGAGCATCTGGTGGATTCGAACCACACACCTCTGGGATTGTAGTGCAGCTTCTTGCCACGAGGCCACCAGAGCTCGCCATGCCTTTTATTTCTTGACTGCTGCAACCATGGGTGTTGATTATGGGCCCAAGTAAAACAACATAATTCCATGTGCTTTTTATTTAGACTTGTAATTATTTAAATGTGGGATTGATTTCCATCTCTAATGTCTTCCTTCAGACTTTGAAATGAAAACCCTGTTTTTAAATAGAAACCAGCTGTGTAATGGAATGTCCTGTGGTATGTAAGAGACAATAAAGATGAACCCTGGTGGTGCAGTTATCAGAGCACTGGACTGCTAATGGAAAGGTCATCCGTTGGGACCACGGCGCCAGGACCACAGCCTTGGTAGCCCCAGGGGCCGTTCTGTGGGTCCTGCTGCATCGCTGTGAATCACAACCACCTGGGTGGTGGTGCGTTTGATTTTTAGGGTTTTATGATGGGATTAGAAAAGCCCCCTTGGGATCTGAACCCCCATGTTCCAGCTCCCCTCAGCAGCCCATCTGCTGAACAAGCCTGGGCTGAGCCCCTGATGTGTCTGAGGGAGACCCCAGAAGATGACGGAGGTGGCCGTGGGGACCCAGCACGTCATGTAAAACACTGCACGTGGAGACTCTGTGAGCGTGTCCTGTGACTCATCACAGCTGCGTTGCATGCTGACGGCCTTGAACATGCACTGCCTCCTTCCTCCTGAATCCTGTGCCCTCTCTGTGTCACAGCAATCATGTCCACAGGCTGCACCCAGCCTCAAAGACTGACCCTGGACTTCCACTCAGCCGTACACAGGGCTGTGGGGAGTTGGGACCAACTCGACACTTATGAACAACAGCAAAGAGGGACTCAGAGCAACTAAACAACAGCGTGACTCCAGACAGGAAAGGAGACAATGGCCTGAGCACAATGGAGCCCGGGACCTGGCAGCAGAGGGCAGGGCGCTGACTGGATGATCAGAGGGTCGCTGGGAGTCAAGTTGACAGGAAGGTACCTGACAGGAACCACCCTGAGTAACGCGTTCCTTTAAACAGCCGTCTGTATGAGACTAAATGGTCAAGAACTACTCTAAGGTGAGATGAGAAGGTAACGGAGGGATTGGGCAGGGCAACCAGAGTCCTGGAAATGGACAAGCAGAGTGGAAGGGACGCGCATAACAACACGGCGGGGAAAACTCCCCGACAGCTCTGAGTGATGTCCTGGGTTTGAACCACCAGCCTTTTGCTTCGCAGCTGGAAGCCTTGACCACAGAGCCTCCAGCAATCCTACACACTGTGTCTCATAAACCTCTCAGTGTCAGGCAGTCAGAGCTGACTCGGAGCTGGGCCTCCGACTCGGAGCTGAGCCGCCACCAGGTTTCTGGAGGCTGTAAACTGAACGGAAGGAAACTGCCCATCCTCCTCCCACGAGGAGGACTGGAAGCCCTGGGTGCCTTTGTTAGCACCACAACTGCCTAAGTCTACCGCCCAAAAGCTCCCCGCAATTTGTGTAGAAATTATTAAATGGGACTGTAGTTTGTTGGGTAACACCTGAAATTTCACGTGAAACACCTGAAATGTTCCTGAGAAGAAGAGTGGGGCTCAGAGGGGATGCTGAGTGCTCACGGTCTCGTGCTCAGATGACAGTCTTTCTGAGATTTGTACCCACCGCTCTGACTCGGCAGCTGGGCACAATGCCAGGGCGCTTCTGCAAAGCGATTCCATGCAGGCATCCAGGACTAAGGCAACCCTCCACTGTCCAAGGCTACAGATCTTTATGGGAGGAAACTGACCCCCTTTCTCCTTTCCCTGAGCAGCTAGCAGACCCGAACTGTTCACCTTCTGTTAGCAGCTCAGTACAGAACTGGCTACGGCCCAGGGCTCCTTGTGAAGGCGCAGCAAGCTGAGAGCTAAACAGAAATGAGGCTGAGCAGATGGAAAGCAGCACACGCTTGTAAACACCACCCGGGTGCACTGACACGAGCCTGGGCTCGGCCTTCGCAGGCTGACCGCCAGGCGCCTGGGGGCCGTGGGGGCTCGGAGTGGCACCTCTACTGCACAAACTCACCATGTAGTAGCCCGGCAGAAGCTTCTGGAGGAACTCGGCCTCTTTGTGCTGGACAGTCTTGATGATGAACTCGTCGTCACTGGTCACAAAGAACAAGGACCCGCTGGCCCCGGGGTTGGACAGCTCAATGAGTGGCTCGCTGCAGATGGAGTACTGGAAAGACAAGCAGAGGCCCTCAGGACCCGAGGGGGTGGCACCCAGCCCTGTTCGTGCGGCCTTCCTCCCCTGCCCCCGCCTCACTTCTTCCATATTTATTTTTAAAAACCAGCATTTACTTGTGTTTGCTGTGAACGCCTACAGGTGAGCTGGTTTTCTGTGGAACCCTTACTGCGGGGATCAGACACCTGGAGGCGCTTTGCACAATGCATCAACATTAACACGCATTAACCCTTTCTCCCGCTCTGCGTCCGGTCATCCGGGGGTAAGAAGTGGTTTTGTGATCCCGAAGGCTCCAAGTTCTAATTTACAAGCTTCACGGTGAGTGAACGCCGGGCAATCTCTCCCCGTGAGATTTACTGCCTCTAAAAAACCCACTCAAGGGTCAGCTACTGGCTGGTTCCAACTCAAGGCACACACACACCAGCAGCAGCAGATCCAGTTCTGGTTCCCGGAGCCTCCATCTTTGATTGGGGGTCACCAGTAACCATCTGGTGTCACGGGGGTGCCCTGGTGCCCACGTTACCCATCTCTGCCCGCTCACTGGTGGGTTTAGATCCTTTGCATGTAAGGTAACCATGGATATGTTCGCACTCAACCACCCATCGTCCTATTTTCCTATTTTCTCCCTCTGGCTCTCGGTTCTTCCTGATTGTTCCGCTAAAACTCAGAAGCAAAGCAAACTCATCAGTGTTGAGTTGGAACCAACTCATCGCTGGGCCTCCCATGGGCTTGGGGTGGGGGGTGAGTGTCACGTGAGAGAAGAGGGCCAGCTTCCTCCACGGAGCTGTGGGTGGATTTGAACTGCCCCGGACTTGAACAATGCCGCCGGATTTAAACAATGCTGCCAGACTCTCCTGCCTCCCTGAAGGCTGGGGAAAACATGTCTGGAGTTTTTCATGTACTTCGGATATGTTATTGGGGGGTCAGTCCCTGGAGACGTGCTCGGGAATTAGAGGGTCAGTGAAAGAGAGGCAGACCCTCGAGGAGGGGGACTGACAGAAGCAATGGCGGCAGCAGTGGGTCCGGGCACGGCAGTGATTGTGAGGACGGCGTGGCCGTGGACGGCATGGCCCAGGCTGGGGTCTGCTGTGCTCTGAGTTGGAGCCGGCTTGACTGTTCCCGACAATGACCAACTGCTTTCCGCGTCCCCTTACCTTCTGATTCCTGGAGTAACTGCTGACCACCTGGTCTCACATAGATATTTAAAGAAGTTCACTCTTGTGGATGATATCCTTTATTTTATGAGCCAATCTGTTCTGGTTTTAGTTCAAAGTTTACAGAGTTTCTCGGCCAGTCTCATGAGTCCCATTTCTAACTAGGCCCCTAAGCCTGGGCTGTGGAAGAACTCAATCTGACTTCTATTTCCCCCAATTCCATCAGCGCTCTTCTGTTCTGGCCCTGATCCAGGTGGCTGTCAGCTGCAGCTGGGCTCCATGGAGCACTCCTGGTCTCAGTGTGGACAAGGCTTTGGCTCCTGGAAGCGGCCTTGCATCCTGACCACCATGAGATCTCAGCCTCTTCTGAATGAGGACAAGTTAGGGAAGCAGAAATCGCCACCAGTCCTCGGACAGCACACTGGCCAAGCCAGGAGGAAGCGCAGGGCACTGGCCTGGTCCAGGTGCAGACCAGCGTGTACGAGGAAGGGCCCGGGACCTGGGGTCATGATCTGTGAAGCCGCGGCTCTGCTGGTGGTTGGTTTTGTGGACTCTGAGTAACTCAGCCACTTTGGCTGTTTGGGTCCACCCTGAAAATAAGGATATTAATACCCCTGCCCCTCCAAAGCCCCTGGACTCACTGCCGTCGAAGCGATTCTGACTCATGGTGACCCTCTGTCAGATTCAGAGGCTGAAAACCTGGGGAACAAACTGCCTCATCGTTCTCCGGTGGACTGGCTGGCGGGGGACCTGAACTGCCAGCCTTTCGGGTAGCAGCCTAACACTTAGCAACAAAGGCAAACCCAAACCAGCTGTCATCGAGTCATTGCCAGATCATGGTGACTCCATGCAGCCACGGAAGCAGGAGTGGCATCCACATCCTAAACCACATGCCTCTGGAAACTCCATGAACCTTGATAAACAACGATAGTTATTTGATTGTGGTCGACTATAGATCCAAGTCATATGACGTCGTATTGAATACTGACAACTTCAGTCCCTCCTCCCTCTGTGAAGACGTTGCCTATTCATCCAGGGGAGAGGACTCTTGTTTTCTTGATGTTCAGACGTCATCCATACGGAAGGGTTTGTCTTCTGCAGTGAGTATCTCAAGTCCTTTTCTGAAAGCAAAGGTGTGTCATCTTTATAACAAATGTTGCTAACGAGTCTTCCTCAAATGCTGATGACACAATCTTCTTAGATTCAAGCTTCTCGAATGATTTACTCAGCATACAGATTGGACAGATATGGAGAAAGGATACAACCCTGACTTAACACCTTTCCTGGCTTCAAACCATGTCGTGTTCCTTGTTCTGTTCAGACAACGGCTTCTCAGTTTATGTAAAGAGCGTTTACTATATATGTGTATGGGAGTCTGAAATGAGCCCTGGTGGTGCAGTGGTCAAGCACTCAGTAAATGAAAAGTAGGCGGATGGAACTGTCCAGTCACTCCTTGGGGACGATATGACAGTCCTCTCCCACAAAGGCTCCCGTGGGGCTGTTCTCCATGTTAGAGGGCTGCTGGGGGCACAGACTCAGTGCAAGCGAGGGGCAGCTGCTGACTTGTTTACATAATAAATCACGATCCTAATTTGTTCCCAAGGAACCCTGATGTCACAGTTTGTAGGGAGTTGTGCTGATAGCCCAGAGGCCAGGCCTGTGGTTCAAGTCCACGGGTGCCTTCAAGGTATAAATGTGGGCCACCTCCTCTGTGTGACTTACAGCCTCAGACCCCACTGGGGGCTCTGAGTTCACTCTGACTGCATAACAATGAGACTGAGTCCATTTGTTTCTCAAGTCCCAGAGCAACACTCAATGTGTAACTCAAAAGAGTTCTGATTGTTAGAGACGTATTCTAGACACTGAACATGCACAAGGGTGGGTCATTCGGGCTGCACCATGCTGGACACGAGGAAGGGGATGAGGACTGTGGCTCTGAGTAGCCACTAGCCAAGAACCTCCTGCACTTGTCCCTCAAGCAGCCACCATGATAAGAGGCCCCTTCCAGCAGGAGTCCCCTGGGGGAACTGCCCACGCTGCAGGGAGCCGTTCGGAAGAGACCTCGTCCCAGGATGAAGCAGCCTAGTCAGGTCAGAAACAGGAACAGAAGGAGACTGCTAGCCCAGAAAGCAATGGACGCTGGGTGGGCAGAGAGACCACAGGGGTAAAGGGCGGGGGACCAGCATCATGGAACACAAATCCACAGCCGCCCCCGGCTGGCCAGCAGCTCCAGGAAGCTCAGAGGAGAATCTATCAACATCTAACAGGAGACAGGAGATGAGGGATTGAGTTCAGTAAGGTAACGTCACAGCTCCTTGGGGCTCCTCAAACGAGCTTTCTGTGTGATGACCAAAACCAGCACAAACCCCAAGTCCCCAAGCCCCCAAACCTCCAAGCCCCTGAGCCCCTGAGCCCAAGCTCACTGTCACAGAGCCGACTCTAGCTCCCATGATCCTGGGGACCCAGCGGCCCACCCCCCAGATTATCCAAGACTGCCATCTTCACGGGAGTGCACCACCCCGTCTTTCCCTCTGGGAAGGCTGGTGGCTTCAAACTACTGACCTCACGGTTAGCAGCCAGCATTTAATCATTAGTTGTTTTGGTTTTTTAAAAATGAATTTTAGGTCCAGAGGACACTCAACCATAAGTTCCTTTCCCCTCACCTCCTGACTGACTTAAAAACAACAACAAAATACCAAACTGTTGGCGTGAAGGTTCACCCATCATGTTGGTGTTTCATACAACCATTTGTACCTCGTTTTAGAACATTTATCAATGAATGACCACAGCTTTGACAGCACCGATTTGCCCTTGACCTTGCCAACTGAGCCCCATTTCAAGGCAGCGGGAGAGCTTCACCCTACACAGATGTCTCTGTGCCGGCTCTCTGCAGCACAGCTGCACCTGGAAGGGGAGCAGATTTGACCTGCAGACCCCTTTTCTCGATGGAGCAACCCTCCCTCAGGGTTCCAAGTCTGTGAGTCTCTATGGGAGGAGACAGCTCAGCTGAAAGGAGTGTTTGCTGGGAGGTGCCGTCAAGCTGAAGCCATAGCGACCCTCCAGGATCTCTGACGCTGTAAACTGCATGGGAGGAGACTGCACATCTGTCTCCCGCAAAGCAGCTGGTGGATTTGAACCATCCGTCATTGGACTGGTAGTATAACTCCTTTCCCACTATGCTACTAGAGCTTCCACAAGAATGTTCAGCATTAGCCAAAGCACTTGGCTAATAATCACAGGGTTAGGAGTTCAAACGCTCCAGCCACTCAGAGGAAGAAAGATGGAGCAGTCTGTGGAAAGGAAGCTTACTTCCTCTGAAGAACATAATCCCGGGGTCTGACTCCAGCCTTATTCAGCTAGTTGGGAGGGGTGGACAACAGGTGTTAGATGGAATCCTAGCCAAGGTTTCCTGCATCCATTACTGAAGCCCCCGGAGCGCTAACGGTGATGCAAACAGAATAGCGCTTTCCTGTGCACAGAACAGAGGGAGAACCCAGAGGTCCTGGAGGACTCTTCACAGAGAGGGGATGAAGGAGCCCTGGTGGCGCAGTATGTAACACGTCGTGTTGCCGACCTAAAGGCTGTAGGTTCAAATCCATCAAGTGCTCCTGAGAGAAAGGTGGCCTGTCCTCCCCTCTGGTGGTGTGGTCCACAGGGAGTCACAAGGCCAATCTGTAGCCCAGGAATCCAGGGTGTGTTGGGTCACTCTGAGTCACGAGACTCGAAGGCAGTGAGTTTGTTTGGTTTGATGCACCAAAAGGTGGATGAGAGATAAATGGAGCATCTGGAGACACAACCTGCTTTCCTTCTGAGCGTCAACGTGCTCCAAGAGCCTGTGCAAGGAGCCCCCGGGGGAGGAGGAAGACTCCCACCTGTTACAGTGGGAGCCAGGTTGTAGGTCAAGGAGAAGACGGCAGTGGGCCAACACAGGTGTGCAATGAACGGTATGACTAAGGCAATTAAAATAGGAAGGCTTTCAAAAAGAACCCCACCAGCCGCCCTAGAACGAATTCTATCAGTTGGAATGATTATCCCAAAGAACCAGCTAAGGAGCATTTACCTGAATAGCAATCACCTGCAGGATCTGTGGCTGTCAGGTGAGACTCCGAATCTAATCTCACTTCATGAAGCTCCAGTCTAACTATTCCAACATGTGGAGCTCTGCCTTCTAAAGCCAAACCTCATTGCTGGGAGACGAATGTTTGCATCACATGTTTCTGCAGGAGTGAGAACTATGGGTACATACCAGGTAGTCATCAGGCTTGATACCAAAAAGTTCTCGGAAGTACCGGAAGGCCAGGGGAGCGTACGTCTTAAATCGGAAGTCCGGGTAATGATGTGCTGGGGTCAGGTTGCTCCCTTCACTGCAGTAAATACATTAGTGTGTGCATGAGAGACAGAGACACACACACACA